TTTATTATTATAGAATATTATTATAGAATTATTATTATTAAATATCTAATGGAATATTTAATGGACATCAAGTTTCATATGGTGATTAAAATCTATTCCTCCCACGTTTACTCTCTGTAAGGAAATTACATTCGGAAGGAAGCATACTCAGTCCGCATTCCACAATATCCGTGTAATTACATAACTGAACCACGATTTAATTACCATTGCGAGAAAGATGTACGAAAAAATCGCGAAGCCAGCATCTGTTTGATATCCGCTTTGTTTTGTGGTAACCGCTGATACAAATTTAATCTTGAGCTTCTAAAAACAAAAAATATATCTTTCTTCTTAATATAATGAAAATTAAACAATTTTTATCTTCTTTAAATATAAAAATTTAAACTTGAAAAAGAATTAAATTTTTATTTAAAAAATAAATAAAACAAATATGTTTTTATCCATCTATACGAGACGAAATAAAAGATAATTGCAATTTTCTACGCTTACTTTTTATCGTAATCGAAAATGTGATTAATATTGAATATACGCTCGTTTCGCGCGGACATGATTTTCATTTTTTTATCTTGGCTCCTTAGATTATTCTAGATCAGGACACATGCGTTTTACCCAAGACATCCTTGCGTTCCGTCATTCTTCGAGGCGGCGATAAAAGCGCGAGCGGAATTTCCGCGTGAGAGAGCCCGGCGTTATAGATCGCGCGAGCGTCCGCGATGCGCTTCTCCTCGGAGTGGTTGTTCTATCCCGCGTTTAAATTGGCTCGGCTCGTTAGACGTAATTAAGAGCCGGCGGGAGGCGCTTGCAATGAATATAAAATTCCATCCTGCCGTACCCAGTGAGGTTGCAGCGCTGGTCTCGTGCGCTGCATTTCCACGTGCACGCTGCGTTGCGCGCAACGCCCGATTAAACCTCTCTCCCCTCGAAGAGACGGATTAATTTTCTTCTGCAATATATTCCGCTCATATGCGTGATCGCGCAAGCTATGTGACGAAAATTGCCACGAAATAATTAAATGTGCATACTTTGCATTTTTTTTCAAATAACTATAATAGATAACAGCGACATTCCATAAAGATTAATGAATAATGGCACGCACGCGCTCCGGGAGAATCAAGCGTGACGCAGACATGCCTTTAGTTCGATTTCTCCTACAGACACCTTAAGCACCGTCGACACCGTTGAAATAACGCGTCCATTCAGGAAAACTCATCCATTATTCATCGACGTGCGAGCGCGTCCATTCGACGCGAGAATCCGCGGTTCCGCTCGAGCGACGCGTTTACGGATTATCGCCGGCAAATGTAAAACGTCGGCTTGCGATTCAGAATGCACGGTAATTTTGTTTCTCGGCTGCGCACGAGATGTATTTCAGAAACGTATCCCGGTTATGCACAAATGCGTCCGATCGTTTAATTAAAAAAGTCTGTCATATGCAGGATAACGTAAGTTCTATTTGCGAATTGATAAATCGAATCGAGATATTTTTTAGGATTTATGATATTCATGTGCCTTCTAAAACGGAAAGTTTAAAATAGCCAATATGGTATATTCGAAAATATTAACAACAACAAAATGTATTGTTGTCATTGTTTTAGAATCATGTTCGTAATTATTTCTTGAGGAATAATAGAAAACTCTTTATGACATGTATACAGATTTGCATGCTATAAATAAGAAAGCTCCTTTTAAAGAGAATCTTATTAAGGAACTTTTAATATTTTTTTATATGATAAAATTGACATATTAATCAATATAATTAGTATGTCAATCGAGTGTATATAATAAGCGCGTTAAACTTTACAATAAATATAAATAGATGAAAAGATAAAAACAAAACGCGTTAATCAATTTTTCGCTTCGTATACTTTAATCAGATAATTTATCATATGTATAATCGCGATCTATTTTTCAAAGAAACAGCATCTCTACTTTTAGAAAGTCCCAGGAGATATGTTTTCTCTTGCGCTTTACTCTTCCACTTGTAAGAAGAGCAATAAAACGGAAGGAAAAACAAGGACTCAAGCGAGATCGGCGGAACACAATGGTTTAGAAAATTGCTAAGAGTTAAAGAGTTCTCCGCGCGGTTTCCTCTTTCCTTTTAGGAAGGTAGGAAAAATATATTTCTTCTGGACGAGCGATAAAGTTCCTGATACATCCTGATACATCGGGAATGCATCGGGGCATCGGGTCGTCGCATCATAAAGTAGACGATTTCGCGCTTCAACATCCTCGCGACGCGCGTTATTTACTCAAGTCTTACCACTGGCGCGTGATTCGCAGACGATTCTCTTCGAGTAAAATTGCACGAGCCGAGATGCACGGTGCGCTAACGGTGCATACGCGCGCAACGGATGTCGTGTCACCTTGCGGTGCTTAAAGCGTGCAGCCGCGAATCTGCCGCGCGAGCGATTTCCATTTCCACTTCCACTTCCACATGTCGTGGGTACGACTAGACCAGGGTCGACTTCGCGATTTAAGCGGTGCGCTACGTTCCCCGCAGCGTCGATGCGTTTCCGCGTTCCCGCAAAAAGAAGCGACGTAAGAGAGCAGGAAAGGAGAGCATACTACGAGCGATTTTCTGTTTATTATTATACATAAAAGAGATATTATATAAATATTATGAAAATGTGGGAATGTGTTTTTATTATTCAAGTCTCTTTCATCCGGAGATAAGAAAAGATTCCGGAAGTTAAATAAAAATCTGATTCATTATTCTTAACATGAAGATAAATTAACTTATTTAAAAAATTTCTGTAGCTTTGTTTTCTCTATATGAATTTCCGATCTAATTTGAAACTAATTTTTCCTTAAAAATTTTTAGATTAAATTTCAGATAGAGAGAGAAAGATGTAACAATATTTTATATACATATATTGTGATACATATAAAGATGTATTAATTTTTACAAGACACCAACGAAATAATCACGTTGCATTATCTGAGCGTATCGGACTCGTGGATATGCGCAAAAATGCACAGGCATTGTTTGCAAATTGTGGGAAACCGGGAAGCGATTAGGAAGAGAAAGAGAGAGAGAGAAAAGCAGAGAAACTGCGCGCGTTGACTCGCTCTGAGCACCCACCCAGTAATATACGTTTGGCGTGAAAGAATAGCCAATGCACGGAAGCTTCTGAAAGGTCACGAGAACTCGCTAATAAAACGCGCGTACCGTGAAAAACACCGCGATACGCACGACGTGTCTCGACCTTGATGCTAAATGCGTCAATTTATATGTGGGTTACGAATGATCGAGAAAATGAAAATGTGTATATATTAATTTGATGATTAAATATTTCATTTATGCATGTGAGATTAAATCGATTGATTAAAAGATATATTCTATAAAAAAATTAAGTTTGTCGAGATCTCAATATAACGTTAGATGTATCAAGGTGTATAAAGTTGATTGAAAACGAGAAAATTTTGATTTTTATAAAAGTGTTGCCTTTTCAATTCGAGAATATGCATTTGAACGAGGAATCTATGACGTATATAATTTTTTAGCAATATCGCATAAATAAAAATTTGTAAAATATGGAATATAATCTTTTTGTGAAATATAATACATCGACATTCTTTGAAAATGCTTTTAATAAATAAATAGAAAAATATTGGAATCGTTATCCTAATTTAATCGCAATCGATGGATATTGTCTGGTAGTTTCCGAAGTTATTTATGACGACGTTATTAGATCGATTCGGATCGTCTTATTCGTTAACTTAATGCTATGCTGAATAATTGATTTAAACATCCTGAGTGTACGTCAGCTGTATTTACGACATTTTGGAAAATAGTATAGGTATATATATTCTCTTGGGTATATCCATTAAGCATTCCTGAAGAAAAACAGGATAATTTTAGATACATAGGTACATATATCCTCTTGAGTATATTCATTAAGCATTCCTGAAGAAAATCATAGTAACCTTAGAGACATAGCTATAACAATAATTAAGTAGAGAAGATGGAATAAACTGATGGAATTAAAACTCGAATATATTCCACTTTTTTGCGATAAAGAAACCAAGAATAAGAAATTCGAAAATCAAGAGAAGGAATTTTTAATCAGAATCTTTTAGAATTAAATTAACACATTATTAAATTATTTGTTTGTATTATATAATTATTATTAGTAAATCTTCTCTCTTCAGAATATATATATATATATTTATATTTAACTAAAATTTTATAGAGTATTAAAACACACACAGGAGTGATTCAAAAATTTGCAGGCTTGTAATACTCATTGTAATAGAAAATGATTGATTAACAATTATTATTGATTATTAATCATTAATTTTTTTTAATAAATAGCGATTTTCTATTTTGATAATAAATAACTCATCCGCGTTTCTATCCATTGTCCACAAAAACTCTAGCTACGTTGCTGACTAAAGTATTCGTAAAATTAGGTCATTCTAAGGGAAAGCACAATTCATTCTCGACTTTCTTGTAGAGACTAACCTCATCCTCACCCACTTCGACAAGTGTGCGACTTGGCGATGAATGCAACCGAGATCGGGACTGCGAGGCTGGCATCGCTAATAGCCACTGCCACTTGGGTTATTGCCGGTGTCAGCCCTTCTTCGCCGACTACAATGACACTCAATGTCTTGAATGTAAGTTCCACCGAAGTATCCTCTTATCTTCTTCAACCGTATAGCTCACTCTCGCTGAAATGCTCTTGGAACGTTCGCTTTGCGTCCGTTCTTGTAAGAAAGATCAAAGTGAAAATAAAGAACTAGAAACTTGCATTGTGTGATAAATTTATATGTGAATTAAAGAGCCACTTGAAATGTACATAATATAAAGCAGCTAACTAAAAAAATTCATCTTCGAAAAAAAATATTTTATTAATATTTATTATTATTTTTAATAGAAAAGGAAACAGTCACTTCATGCTAAAGTTAAGGATTTGCTGATATCTCTCTTCTAACTTTACAGCAACTCTATTGGGCAATGATTGTCTCGTAAAGGAACAATGCTCCCTGAAAGTGGCAAACAGTAGCTGCCTCGAGGGCGTATGCAGGTGTGAGGAGGGACACTTGCAGTTCCGCAGACATACTTGTCTGGGACGTAAGTGCATTCTACAATAATTAATACCTTGATTATATAAACGTAAAAAGTTTGATAACATTCCGCAAAATTATATAAAATAAAGTCAATAAAAACGAGTCAATAAGAAATGCGCGCGCCCTGTTCACGCAATTTTTTCATCTTATTTTATTTATAAAAAATATACTGATTAAACTAAATGCACATAAAAAATGCTAATATTTTATTCTTGATATAGAGAAATTTTAATCAAATTACGATCGATTTATTTCTGTAAGTAACAAAATTAAAATCGTATATGAAAATTGCAAAAAGTAAATCGATTTAATTATGATGATAGCAAAACGATGACATCATATTATACTTAATTGCTTATTAATACACCGCAACACGAATACGGTGGGCGCCATAAGCTAGTCGCTTGAGTTTCTCGAGGTTACCGCTGGAAGCTATCTTGGCATGACATTAAGGGGATCATTAGTGACGTAGAGCACATCGGTGAAAGAATCGATGATGAATAACCAGGCGAAGCGTAGTTAAAGTATCACGCGAAGAAAATTCTGATTTATGTAGTCTTATTCTCCTCGGCTCACCGGACGAGCATATTATGATAGTTTGAATATACAGAAATGATATTTCGAGAATAAATCCATATACTCTTCTGCTTAATTTATCGAGAGTCAGTTTCGATTATTGACAACAGCTATTGTACCGTTTCCGATACTGCAACTTCCTCGGTTTCTAACGATCTTTATTATCATATATGCGGAAATAAATGGAAAGTATTTCACGCGTAGATTATGTTACATAAGTCAGATAATGAGAATTTACAAGATTTTATATTATCTATAAAATATGATTATGCAATACTATTCTCGATTTCTCGTAAATAAAAAAGCTTCAATTATAGCTTATATTCTAGTATTATGTTTTTGCGATAAGAAAAAATTACGAAATAATTATACAGGAATAATTAAACGAATAAATAAACAAGAGACAAAATTGCAAAGATTAAAAATATTTAAAAGATTACGAAAATTATAATAAAATGAAAAAAAAAATTATTATAATAATCAAGAAAAATACTAATTATTTATGATTAGTCTACAATTTTTTATATTTTTTGCTAATAGAAACTTTTTTTTCATTACAATTCGTCTTAAAAATTACGAGTGTAGCGTGATTATATCCCACGAATCTATCAAAAGGTAAAATGTTTCCAGAGGAAGTTTGGTAAACAGATGTGAAATTAACTCGCGATGCGCGTAAATGTTTCGTGAATCAAGAGACTAATCTAATTTGCAGCGGCGAAACTCGGCGAGGTGTGTTACGAGCACGCTCACTGTCGTCTTTGGGATCCCGAGTCGCATTGTGATTTTCTTATTCCGGATTTATTCGGCCGCTGCCAATGTACCGCGCCGATGCGCCGCGAAGGGAACGCGTGTCGACTTGACAGTCTCGTGAGACCCGCGCCTCTTCCGGGGCACCTGCCTCTCCCTCAGGAGTCGACAATAGAAGACGTCACCGGGAGCGAGCGCGATAAGGAAACTGGCACCGAGGAACAAAAAGACGAGACTCAAGGGGAGCAAGATACAGGTATGTCACGTTTTCCAATTGCAATTCGACTCGTCAAATTAATTCGAAGCTCGTAGTTTTATGAATTCCAATTTTAATATCTTTATGTATATATATAATTGTATAATATAATATAATTATATAATATTATATAATTTAGATATTATAAAATAAAAATATATGCATAAAAGGCTCATAATATGTATCTTTTTTTTTTTAAGTAATTATTTTTCTTTTTTATAATGTGAATTAAAAAATCATTACGTATATATATATATACATACATAACATACAACAATAAAATTAAAAACTACACAAGGCTCAAATGATAAATATCAATTAGTAAAAAAAAGAAAAGATTTGGAGCCCGGACTTAAAGCGTAATAATTGTGTATTGTTTAATAAATCAAGAATATAAATGAAAAAATCAAACGTTTCGGCCCACTTCGAGTCTCAATGAATATAATCAAAATTTAACATATAAAAGACATCTCAAGGCGGAGTAATAAATACGTAACGCAATGGCAGATTTATAACAGTGTTACGGTATGCTTACAATATTATCGAGTGATTTGCAGATGACGATATGACTATCAAAATCTTGCATAGGTCGAACTCACCCCGCAGACACTTGATTTTTCTTCTAGACAAATTGGTAGAAGCGGGCGCAAACAATCGACAAAATGACAGTATATCCATAATACAAATAATTCGCTGATAAAGGTCATAATGTCATGATTATTGGTATTATGGATATACTGTCATTTTGTCGATTGCTTGTGCCCGCCTTTTGTCTAGAAAATCAATTTGTCTAGAAGCAAGATCGAGCATCTGTGGAGGTGAGTCCGATCTATGCGGGATTTTTATAGTCATATCGTCCATCTGCGAACCATTACAGAGAGCGGAGATTTTTTCATGCTTGGAAGTAAATCTTTTATTAACATCAAAAGCCTTTTATCAGACTCACAAATTATTTTATTCGTTAGCGATAATGAGCACATTATTTTAAATATAGACTATTAAAAAATTATTTAAGTAGATTATTTTGTTTAAATAAAATATTTAAAATATATTATTTTTAAAATTAATTTTTCATAAAAATAATAAGAGTACAGCTATATAGATAATATTTAATTTAATAATAATTTGCCTACTTTTCTAATTAATCTACAATAATTAATGAAGTTTTAATATTTCTATGTTTAAATAATGTATTTGTCAGGAGATTTATTCTTAGCACGAAGAAATGTCCATCAGCCTGTTTAAAAAAAAGAGCACTTCGAGACTGTCACAGAATTGAAACCGCTTTCTAAACTTCGTGCTCCCTCGAGTGTGCAAACTTGTACTGGTAACGAGCAAACATTTGGTACCTGACTTCTCCATAAGCCACTTAGCATTCCCGTAGAGTAATCCTCGAGCGTTGTATGGGAATTGTATCATCGCTTCCCCCTCTTTTTGCCCCCCCCCCCTTCCCATGTTTCACGCGTCTTTTATCCGGTAATCAGCTTTTCCGTGTGCACACGGCCACAACGGGAATTTGCGGAGATCGTGTGCGGTTTCCAACCCGAATGCGCTTGAACGGATTAACGAGATGAGGCGATTCGCGCATTCTTAATTAGCGCGATCATTAGCGAAACACGAATGGCACTTCCCTGCGAACGTGAATATACAAAGAAAACTTTGTACTTTACTGGCATATGCACCGTAATCACACACACAAATTGCACACGAAATATTATTACCCTCCATTACCGCTTTCGAGGATTCTCTCACGCCAGCCTAAAATGCGTTAATGAAATAATGGACAATAGCCATTATTGTGTATTAATTCCAAAATGACGAGATTTTCTCCGATATTGCCTCCGGATAGGCGTTCAAATATCCTGGCTGAAAAACGCAACGATGCTCCTGTCGACGGAAGCTCCCAGTCAATTGATACCGGTAAATCTGGTGACCAGGCCGTCATTGAACTTGAGACCCGGGACCAACGATCGCTTCGGACCGAACGAGCTCCCCGACGATGACGATGCCATTGTTATCGAAGCGGAAGTCACCGAGCCCACTCATCTCATGATGACTTCGACGTTTGGTAAGAGATAAGAGAGAGAGAGATTTTTATAACGATTTTATATTTTAAAACATATCTCTTATTGACGTATATCTAAGTCAACGCACACCAGGAGAGTATTTCGCGCATTTAAAATTGATGGATCGAGGTATTCGCGCATTCTCCATCTGCGATACCATAACTCGATCTAATTTCCACCCGATCCCCGCTGTCTTTCAGCACCAATAAAGACGGATCGTCACGAGAGCACGATAATGACGGCCGTCAGCCTGGGACTGGCGTGCCTCGCCGATCTCGAGTGCCGTATGGCCGATCCGATGTCACGTTGCATCGACGGCGTGTGCGACTGCAGTTTCCCAACGAATGGCAGTTGCAACGCGCGGCGGACCGGCTGCGCGCCGGGCACGTTCCAGTGCCGATCGTCTGGCAGCTGCATCAGCTGGTTCTTCGTCTGTGACGGCCGCGCCGATTGCGCCGACGGTTCCGACGAGGAATGCACCGGCCACCGCTGCCCGTTGCAGGCGTTCAGATGCAACGATAGCGACGTCTGCATATCGAGGTCTGGCCTCTGCGATGGCAACCGCGACTGTCCTCGCGGCGAGGACGAAATCGGCTGCAACAATCGACGAAGTGGGTATCCTCGCGCTTTTCTTTTAGTAAATTACTCTATTGAAACGTTTCCTTTAACGTTGAATAATTTCAAGAGAGACGGATCATTTTTTTTTAATTGTAGAAGATGGGAACAAGAGCGTATTTCGAATCCTACACCGTGTTCAACATTTTTTATTAAAATTGTAAATTTAAGTATACACGAGCAGTAAATTATGCAAAAAATTTATTATTTTATTTGTTATCAATTTGATCGCTCTCTTATAAAGCTATCGAAGTTGAATATTCTTTCAACTGATATTTTTTTTTTATATTGTTTTTCATTTTTAATATAAAAATTATAATTTGTATATATGCTCTATATAATTTATTTATTTAAAAATAAACAATTTAAGAAAAAAAAAGAAAATATATTTCATTCAAAAAACTAAGTCTATCCTTATTATAAAATTGGTCCAATTTTTGCATTCTCTCTTAATAGAGCTGTTATGATCCTTACGATCATAATTATTATCGAACTTCGCGTTCCGAAAGGAATGAACGTTTCGTACATTCCATTCGTGCCTTTCGCTTGAATTTACACGCAAGATTCCACGATCCGTGTTCGCAGAATGTCCCGAGGGTTCGTTCAGATGTAACAACGGTCAGTGCCTGCCGGCGTACGAATTCTGCAATGCGGTGGTGTCCTGCAGGGACGGCAGCGACGAGCCCAGGGGTGCTTGCAGGACGCGAAATCGCAGCCGGATCGCCGCGAGATTCTGCCCGTTCAGGTGCGATAACGGCAGGTGTCGTTCTGACGCGATAACCTGCAGCGGTCGGGACGGATGTGGCGATGGCTCTGACGAGAAACACTGCAACGTCTGCCGTAAGTATATCTCATGAAAATGAAAATATGACAAAGATGTGACGTGTAAAAAAATCGCTCTAACTGTAAGCATCGCGCTTTCAAAAAATTATCTTGCATTAAAAACGTGTGATAACATCTTATTAAATGGAATGTCATTTGTATAATAGTCAGCTTCTCTTATCTTATCAATTACAGCTGTTTTTCCGCGTCGATTTTTTAATTTGCAAACGAGAGAGGTACTTTAGTAATATGTTGAGAAAAACCACATGTATTAAAGCTAAAAGTTGTTTATAAGAATATTTCTCTTGGAAAGAATGCGAGAAGTATTTTTTTTTCGCGTTGCCTCTTTGAATAAATAAAGCGTTATTTACAAACGTTACATTTTTTTTTCCCGAGATTTTCATTATTCGCAATTACCGTCTTGTCTATGTTAGAATTTTAAGCGTATGTACAACAAGGAGTACCGCGTTCGCGATTCGATGCATCGAACCGTCATTTAGATTCGCGTGCTTTTTCGCTTCCTATAATCTAACGCAAGCCGGAGCTACGCTCGCGTGTAATTAGAGCAGGATGCATCGATTACGTTGCTATCTTCCGTAATAATCTTTTTCAAGCCCATCCGGAAGAATATAGTAAGAAATTACATAAATGAATTAGTCATAAACAAGAGCGCGTATAGCTATATCCCGAGACGGAAATAATAACACGCGCGACTCGGAGGCACCGCCCGTGTTAGCCTCCTCCTGGCGGGTTGTTTCACGCGACCGAGATAGGGGATGACCATGCATTCTTGCGAATAATAGGCGGTAGAATAGCGGAAAAAAGTGGAACGTTCGCAGAAGCAAGAAAAGAGAGAAAAATGTGGGACGTTGCTTTGTTTCCGGTCTATAAAAGAAATACAACTCCTTTTATATTTTTATGAACAAAAATATTCCTCTTTAAAAAAGAACACAGTTATAATATATAATTAATATATATGATGTAAAATATTATCGTTGGCTGGATAATTTTTTACTAAAATGAATTAGAGCAAAGATGAATAAAACAGCACAATATCCGCCGTAGAATTTTTATTTTAAGTTTTATTAAATTTGAAGAATCTGCGACAAAGTATCCGAGGATGTTACTAAAAGCGTAATATCGTTCTCGAAAATCTAATCGTCTTATTGTTAGATTGAAGAATTCTCATGAAAATGAAAATTTGATAAAGATGTGACGTGTAAAAAAATCGCTCTAACTGTAAGCATCGCGCTTTCAAAAAATTATCTTGCATTAAAAACGTGTGATAACATCTTATTAAATGGAATGTCATTTGTATAATAGTCAGCTTCTCTTCTCTTATCAATTACAGCTGTTTTTCCGCGTCAATTTTTTAATTTGCAAACGGAAGGTACTTTAGTAATATGTTGAGAAAAACCACATGTATTAAAGCTAAAAGTTGTTTATAAGAATATTTCTCTTGGAAAGAATGCGAGAAGTATTTTTTTTTCGCGTTGCCTCTTTGAATAAATAAAGCGTTATTTACAAACGTTACATTTTTTTTTCCCGAGATTTTCATTATTCGCAATTACCGTCTTGTCTATGTTAGAATTTTAAGCGTATGTACAACAAGGAGTACCGCGTTCGCGATTCGATGCATCGAACCGTCATTTAGATTCGCGTGCTTTTTCGCTTCCTATAATCTAACGCAAGCCGGAGCTACGCTCGCGTGTAATTAGAGCAGGATGCATCGATTACGTTGCTATCTTCCGTAATAATCTTTTTCAAGCCCATCCGGAAGAATATAGTAAGAAATTACATAAATGAATTAGTCATAAACAAGAGCGCGTATAGCTATATCCCGAGACGGAAATAATAACACGCGCGACTCGGAGGCACCGCCCGTGTTAGCCTCCTCCTGGCGGGTTGTTTCACGCGACCGAGATAGGGGATGACCATGCATTCTTGCGAATAATAGGCGGTAGAATAGCGGAAAAAAGTGGAACGTTCGCAGAAGCAAGAAAAGAGAGAAAAATGTGGGACGTTGCTTTGTTTCCGGTCTATAAAAGAAATACAACTCCTTTTATATTTTTATGAACAAAAATATTCCTCTTTAAAAAAGAACACAGTTATAATATATAATTAATATATATGATGTAAAATATTATCGTTGGCTGGATAATTTTTTACTAAAATGAATTAGAGCAAAGATGAATAAAACAGCACAATATCCGCCGTAGAATTTTTATTTTAAGTTTTATTAAATTTGAAGAATCTGCGACAAAGTATCCGAGGATGTTACTAAAAGCGTAATATCGTTCTCGAAAATCTAATCGTCTTATTGTTAGATTGAAGAATTCATCGGAGTTTATCGAAGTTAATACATTGAGTGCTACAGGATTTATCAGCGCTATAATATAGACATATTGCATTAGAATATATATAAAATACAGTTAATAACACATACAAATTAGATGAATATATTTCTTCAAATTGCATTAATTTATCATCAAATAATTAGATACTCCCAACTTTTAGTTTATTTTCTCGCAAATTCATCAAACTTTGTATCAATGTGTTTACAAGACAAATAATAATAATCCATTTCTTATCGCTCGCAACTTATCAATCTCAGCGTAGGCACATTGCTCTATATTAATGTTCACGATAGGACGTTGATTATCAAGCAAACCATGTTGCAGGATGCAGCGGAAGGATTTAATCTCGACCGGTCGGCCGATCATATGTCGCGTCGCATCGTCGGATAGAAAGGAGAGAAGGAGAAGGAAGAGGAGCAAACTACTACCCGGCTCGCGTCGATGGTTTCGCGAAATAAGATGTGCTCGAGTAGAAGGGCACGGAAAGTAAGTGTGACCAAAGATCGTTAAGCCGTATCGCGGCGCAACTTAAGCTTTCAACGCTCCGCGATTTCGAGACTGAAAGCACTGTTTTTACTCGGGCCGGCTCTCTTACAGCACGAACGGGAAGAGAGAATCACCTATCGTCGCGCCTACCGCGCGATCTCGCTCGTTAAACCGAACCGGTCCAGTGACCGACGTAGTGAGTCGCGCACTCGGGAAAGGAATGATTGCGCTCGTGTAATAATGGGACTTAATCGCGTATAATGATACCGTAAGAGACGGGGATAATTTGCGCCAAGGGATAGTCCTGGTTGCTCCGTGACGAGTACAGCGTGCATTCAGGATTTATCTTTTCGGAGTATTCGAATTCTAAGCAAAGTACCATGTCCGAGGTCCTTATTTTAAGGAATAAAATTGATACTATAATCTATAAGATTTAGATAAAAAAAGATATTAATTTATATTATTGAATTATTGTAATATTATTCACGTTGTTATCGGACGTGTGTGCTGATTTGCCTAAAGCGTGATAAGACAAGTGTGAAACGTAGTACCATTGCCGGGTATATCTCTAACAAAAGAGAATTTTGGAAATATCAATCTCATTGTCAGTTTTGAATTTACGCTCGTGCGTAATGTATCTAGCACGGAAGACGCAACATCACAAGGAAATTTTTATTTAAAAAAACGTATATATATCGACATTGATGTATAGTAGCGTTAATTTAATTAAATCTCTCTAAAAACTTATGACATATATTCAAATTCAATATTATCGACGAAACATACGAGAGTGATAATACGTCTTCCGTTGAATCTCAATGACGCACATATTTATTAAAGTAGAGCTATCAAAAGTCGTTCGGAGAGATGAGTAGATATCTTATAAGCATCAAAAGTGTACAGATATTATAAAATTATCGAGATGTAACAATAAAATATATAACAAGATATGAACAAATATTTTTATACAATTTTGTGTATCGTTATCGATTAAATTTCTTGTAATACATATATCTGACGTCTCGTCCGGTATATTTAACTTATAATCCATATCTAGAAACATCCAATATAAAAAATGTAATGTAACAAATTTTAATAAAGTTTGAAATTATGTATATTAATTATATTTTTATCTGCGTAATAAAAAATTACCTTCCCATCCGCACAATTTTGTGTCACCGCTGTATTTTCTGAAATATAACAAACTAGTTAGCTCTATATGGTATATTAAAAAAATGAATATACATCAATTATATAATGAAAGCATTTTGCAATATATAAGTGTATCATAAGGCCCTGCTAACAATAGAGAAAATATTAGGAATAGGAATAAAATATTAAATATCAGGTGGAGCAATTTGGAATTATTTTAATTCAAAAAAAGGGAAGGCATGGATTAAAGCATAATGAAATAAAAAAATAAAAAGTAGAAATAATTAATCCATTCCTTTTCCTTGTTTGAAGTAAAATAATTCCAAATTGCTACTCCTGATATTTAATACTTTATTCCTATTCCTAATATTTCCTCTATTGTGCGCAGGGCCTTAGGGTATATAACGCGTCTTGTTACTGAGTTATCGACAATCTGTGATGCACATCTGATTATCATCGACCTTTATATGGAATCTACATTATAAATTATCTTATCTCTCAACAACGTCGTTGCATCAAATTTCTGATATGAATTTTCTAAGAAATTGTGATATAATCGAGCATATTCTGGAAACTGGAATTATATTTATCATAAAAGCGATTATATAGAATGATTATTTTTTCTCTTAAGATTAAAAAAAATTTTTTTTTCCGTAATAGACAAAATACAAAAATTTCCTCTACATAATAGTAATAAATTATTATTGATATCTTAAATCATATTTCATTGATTGTAAAGATAAACTTTGCTTTAATTTGTTTAACGATTTAAACAAAATGCATACAGATTTATTTAACTGAACCATTGTACTAGATATATCGGAGATTGTATATTCAGGAGAATTATGGAGATGCATTTTATGCGGACGAAAGTGAACGAACAAAAATCCCGGTGCATCTCGTGAGCCCCTACGCAATCCAATGTTTCCGCGGTATGACGTGCTTTGGTCCCGGGCAATTCCGCGACTGCGTGCCTGGCTTCGCTGGTGCTCGTCGATAACTGTCCGCACGATATATCCTGGAACAACGTGCACGTGCCGCAGCATCAGGTACCCCATCCAGCAAATGTATTCTAAACTCTAGAATGTCACATTGAGATTGAATAAATCCCTTCTGTCCCTTCAGAAATTTGGACAAAATTTCAACGTTCGACATTCTCTTCGCAAATTATATTTTTGTAACATTTTTTCGAATCTCCGAAAAAATACTTTTTAGCGAATAAACTCCAACTAAAATTAAATAAAAAATGATTACCGTCAAAGTTGCCCCGAATCTGTTGGATCCCAATGCGATGACTCGAGAGTTAATCTTATCTCCGGAAATCAGTATCGTGCGTGTTCCAAGTAGCACACTCGCGGTCTTTGGAGGATGAAAGTTAAATTAAGTTAAGGTTTAATTAACTTTCGACCGTAATTGCACATCGCGTCTTTCCTCACTTCGTTCCGACTTTTAATCCGGAACCATTAGGGCGCGGATCGACGTTGAGGGCTCATTTTTCATTCCGTTAACGTCGGAAGTTCGGAACGCAAAAATTACCGTGACGCTTATTAATAGCACGACTGGAGAATTAATCGTGTGCCTCATGCGTATGTTTTTATGTAATAGCACTTTGCCTCACCAAGATGAAAAACATGGTTGATTAGAAAAAACATGGCGAGTGGAGTGTTAGAGCAATATTTCATACATCTAATTTCGTGATTACAAAGCATTTTACAAAAACCTAAATACGTATTTTTAATAGATAAGCAAATACTAATTTTAATTGTTCAAATTATAATACATTATGCTAATAATGCGTTATATCAACAGACATATTCCAAACAAATCATGTTATTTTGTTCTAAAGTAATTTCATTATTTCAATATTTTTTTAACAAGCACTTTTTACTTTTTACGACGCGCGCGCTTTTATTTACGGACATTTTCCAATTTTTAATAAATTATACAATTAAAAATGTGATTTTATATTTACATACACGTTTTTACGCAATACATACGCAATACGTACGCAACGGTAGACTTATAATAATGTTACGATACGCTTACAATATTACGCGTAATATGCATAGACATCGAACCGCTCGGTAGACCAGTCCTGCAAAGTTATTATGTAAATTATATGCACGTGTCGTATAATAAATACGCAATACGTAATGTAGTTGATAATCTCTGGAAAATGTCTGCTGGTTTTTTATATATACAGGATATTTTGATTAAATGTTGATTAGATCAAACGTTTGTTTTGTAACATTAAAATTGGATCAATAAAAGTATTCTAATTAATTTCTAAATATTAAAAATTATAATAGCGGTTTTACAACTTATTTGAAAGAATCTTGAATTTATTTATATAAATTATTTCTTAACTATTATAAGACATTGAATTGTCAAGCTCTACGAACTATCAAAATATACGATCTCCACAATGACAGCTACTCATGAAATAAGCACAGCGAGAGAACCAATCAGCATCGCGGAAAAGAGGCAACAATGTCAATAACATGCCTTTTTTAAAGGAGAACTATTAAATAATCATTATCGAGTTTATTATTAAGCGATATATATTTTGGTATCGGTGTTCATCCCAATGACAACCTTTATATGCGCATTGAAATATTTTGATATCTTTAAATTAGATTGCAATGTAGTTGAGTAATATCAAATTATAAATTAATCAGTAATTCAATTTATCGTTTTACGTATAAAATAGAACCAATTAATAATAATCCATTTAGTGTAAACAGTACTTAGTCTTAATAAGAATTTCATATCAGGAAGAACAAGAAAAAATGCCAGACAAAAGCAAACAGAAAAATTTTATCGATGTAATGTATGCCTCATATCGCATTTCAGCGTTAAAAATAGATTTACTGGAAATGACTGAATATTTTTATATAATCGGAATAAAAAGATGGAATCTATTAATACTCAAACACATCGATATTAGCGGCATTATTTTTCTCATTTTTGAAAAATTATTTATCTGATTTCTTCTTTGTAAAACAAAAAATTTAATTAATTTAAATTTAATTTAATTATAAAATTTATTCGTCAAATTATATTTTTCTCTCTCTTTCTCTAAAATAATAATTTTGATAAAGAATTAACTCATTAATCTAATCAGTTCATTTGTTACTCTAATAACATAATAATTAATTTAATTCTATTAAAAAGATATTTATAGAACTTACATATTTCACGATAGAATATTAAAATGATAATTTCAAAATATGCGCATACCTTTATTAATGCTAAAATGTTTCCAAAAAGAATGATGAATTCATAATTTACTAAAAGTGAAAGATATACGAGAGATTAACGTAGATCTTTAGGTATATTTGCAAGATATATATCTATTTGCACATACATTTTTTGATAAAAATTTGTAATCAATATTCGTTATATCTTAACGTTACTCGTTGCTTACAGTATCTAGACAAACAAAACAATCTATCGATTCTAGATTTCCTTTAAGTGGTCAATCTTATTGAATTAAAGATAGTTATCGAAAGCAACACGATTACGAGAGCGTATCTCGGTAAACAGACGCGCGCATCGCGACCGCGCAACGCGGCACGAGTAGAGGGTACGCTGCTGGTCGTCGACGACGACGAAGGCGACGGCGACGACGACGTATGCGCGAGAATCTCCGTCAGTCGGCGACGGAGTTGCCTACTTGCAGCGTGGGTGGCACGTGCGCGCGTCTCGTCGACCCGGCCAGTTCGATTCGATTAAAGGCTTCGCCGCAACCCTCGCTCGCCGCGCGAGCGAGGTGAGACCTCGTGCCCGTGGGTCGTTATGCGTCGAGCGTCGTCATCCCCTAATAAGCTGCGTAAGGGGGCATACGCGATACGAGGATATGCGATAAACATAGTCGGCAATTCGCGTTTTAACGCGTCGACGAGGAATTGTGACACGATCAACCGCCTACTACTGTTTGATACGTCGCCAAGCGCGTTCGAAAGGTAATTCGAAATAAACCGAGATAATTCCACGATTGTTTGCGTGCGCCGATCATGTTTCGAGATATCGTTACCTTTGTGCTGACAGCATATACAGGATATGCAAATCTCGCATGTGTCGTTGCTACGTAAAAGTTTCCGGAGCTCTCTTCATAGATTGCGATCTAATCTTTTTGCGCGTGTCGACATTTTTTATTTATTTCTTAAGGGACATTGACATTTTGTATGTATAACACAAGCATGCATATATAATCATAAAAACTGTCGAGTTTGCATATTTATGCTTTCGTTACCAAGATAATAATATAAACTTCGCGATATTCATCACTTAAAATTAAATCAGAAATAAGATATAAGTTGTTTATTTACATCCCTTTATTCACGAAATCTTTAAATTTTCGATAATCGCGATTCAAGAACATTCTTTGTTGAGAAAAAAATCTACATAAAATTTATTCAAAAGATTTGCATGTAAAAGAAAATGACTGAAACCGTAACCTTGTATGTATCGGAATTGTTTTATGGATAACACATTAAATTGCAATCGTTATATCTCTTGCAAATAAATTTCAATATAACATCTAATTTTGCGAAATCTTTTAAAAAGTATACATTAAAACACGTCTAAAATTATTTATCAAACATACTCAATCTTTTCTCAATTTTTTTTTTTTCCTTAAGCCCTTTTATTTTACATATTGATTTATCAAAATTCGTTCCTCGCATCTGCGAAAAACAGGTTTGCCGCATCATGCTTTACATTTTAACGCTGCTTTTATCGGCTATTGCAAGCTACTACGTCCATCATTCAATATCCGATATTCATTTAGACACACCTACGCTTTCTACGCGGGAGGAAAAAAAAAGGGATATTTTATCTAGCCTTCCGTTTTCCTCGAATCTACACAGTGTGTTGCCGCGTATCAAAAGAATATTATCTCTGTGTTCCGGACAATCCTACGTGTGGTATTTTTATGCAGGATACAGTCGAAGGTCGAAATACGTTTCGTGTATCAGTCAGTTCGCGTTGGATAGATATATTGTTTCAAGTGTTCAAGTGGATTATCCGACTTGCTAAAACATAGCTGTCGGTTACGTTTTGTTCGAATGATTTTTGTAGACTTTTCTGCTCATTTGACACACATTACACAACCGCAAAGCATGTATTAATTTACATATTGAGATATATTTGCGCGTTCTGTTTAAATTGCTTCTCTCAGTAAATCTGTGTATATAGCTATGTTCGTAATTGTTTTTCTTTCCTTGTCATGCATAAAAGAAGCAATAAGCGAAAGAAACGTAATTAAGTAATCGGCACAGATTATCTGCGGTAAGAAGAGAATTACAGCGCGAGCTAAAATATTCTTCTATACGTCTACAAAAAAAAAGATGACTAAATATTAATATATAATATTGAAAGAAAAAAATTTTAGAGTAAAACATTTCTACATTACAAAGAATAAATAATATATATGATTAATGGATAAACAAATTTGTAATAAAATAATTTAGAAATAATTGAAAAAAATTCCCCAAAGGCATCTACTCCGATAATTACTGCTCACTTATTGTACTGCTGATTACTCGATAAAAATCAAACAAAAGTAATTAAGAGCGTTTGTTTCAAATGTCACAATAATGACAATGACCATTATCGGGACATGAGTCTGTTTGAATACGGTTTACCGGAAACGGAAATGAGATTTTATTGGAAATATGATTGACAAAACAAAATTTTTTTGGAGCCAGCTCGAGACGACGACTTTGCATCGCTCTTGATCGCCGACGCATCCAAGAGAAGAATATGCAAGAGGCATTTATCTAATCAGTTGGATGCTTTGCCACTTTAACCCTTAACTGGTAACGTGAAAGAAATTCTACGCAATTGGCGATGAGGGGTTCCTTACTTTATTTTTAGATTTTTTTCAAAAGATTTTTGAAACAATAATTTTTTATCTAAAATATCTAGGAATATACAAAACATATAGAAGAAAAAATTGGTATATAGTGATGCTGTATTGAAATTAATATCTTTAATTATTTATTCAATTGCGTATAAACAAAAGCTGGAAGTTAAAGTTCAAGCTCCAGGAGATATGAGAAACCACACATATCTTAGTTAAAGGTTAAAACTCATTGACGTAACACTTCCATTCTATTCTATTATCCGCTTTCTCTCTCATTGAACTTCGATGCGGTGTCTTTATATAGAACAAGATGTCTTGTAACATGCGAGCAAATTTCCGTTTAGAAAAACTTTCAATAATTGCAACAGAGATTATTCATCAATTGCATCAGAGTCGCAAAGTTAAAAGTGCTCCATTTTATATAAAATAATTGTCCAATATTTTATACCTTAAAATAATTGTCCAATATATTTTATATTAGTTTTACTACATAAAATTCAGAAAACATAATAGATATTTCAAAAACGTCACATTTCTCAAACTTTAGATGGTTTAGCGGGAAGGAATCAAGGGCTAACAATCTATATTACTTTCGTAATATATCATATAATAATATATGTAAGGGTACTTATAATAATTGTATAATTTATCCAATAACATACTATACTAATAATAATTTAGCATGTCAATCCAAACTATTTATAGCTTAAAGTGCATTTTTTCTATTGAGTTTAATAAAGTACAATTAGTTTTATATTGAGTTACTTTAGTTGCCGTATCTTTGATTAGAAACGTAAAAACCTCAGCCGAAGGAAATCTGAAAATTAAAGGAAAGTAGTAGATATTATTTAAGTTTGATCTACTTTGTGAGAATTAAGTAGAAATAACACGCGTATTGATTGCGTGAATCATTTGTCATAGATATTACAAATAACTTTTAGATGGCTCTCAGATTAAATTTTGAATCATTTGTTAATACATATTTCATCTTGTTGAGAAATCTATATAATACAATTGAAAGAGGAAAAAGATATAATTCGAAAAATTAAAAGGAAAACTTTATCGATACCTAAATATTTTATTTTTTTTTAGAAAGCAGGATATTTTAAAAGCGACTCACTTTTGATTTTAGAACGAGGGTCGAGATAGCGAGATAGTCGATCTCGTCTCAGCGTCCTCGCAAAGCACGGCGGCCACTCGATGATCGCCTTCCTTTCTCGAAAGGACGAGGAAGCTGAGGACGAAGAGAACGGGGCGAGTCGTAGAAGGACGAATGTCTACATCGTGATCGGCGATGCCGTACGAAAGAACTGGGCGACAAGGGACGAACAGTTGAGACGTCCTCGAACGAGGGTAAACCGATCGCGGATACAACGAAGTCGATTAAGACGCGAGAACGGGATCCTTTGTAACCCCGAGAAAGGCGTGACCTCGGCAACATGATGTGGAAGGCAAAATGGTCACGCTTCACCGAGTGCTTCTGCCGACGACCCGGCCTCGTTCTGGTTCTGCTACCGTGCCTGATTGTCATCACCCTGTACCTCGTTCCCGACGACGACTACGAATACGACGTACAGTATCCGTCCTTCAAGTCGTACAACATTACGGAAGGTGAGAATCATTGTTCTCGTAGCTCATCACCGCGATTCGTTATTTAAGTAAACGAATAATATAAAAATCGACATAATTTGAGAACGTGCGCTTCTATTTTTCTATAATTAATACCACAGTTTATCATCGAGCTTGATTATTATGCAAATTAATTTGCATTTTTAACAAAAGGACGTATACGACATTAACATAATAATCTTATTTTATGCCTTGTTTGGGACAATTGTTTAATTTAAATGCAAAGACAATTGTTCAGGTTTCTAATTGGAACTTGCTTAATCATCTAAAGTTTGCAAACTTTTAATACCACTTTTTATGACTCAATGCAGTTTTACTAAAAACTAAATAAATCGGTTTCGTGACTACAATAACATTATTTTTAGTTGAAACACAATATACAAACAATGCCGAAGATATGCTTTTATCCGTATCTTCGTCTTTATTACGTGTTTTTTGAGTAAAACTGTCCGCATTATCATTTTATGTGGCGTTTTATAAATATTAATAGCAGCACTACAAGAGCATTATTTAAATTTAAATATTCAAACCTAAAATATTTTAATGAGTAAAGGCATCAAATTAATTTGCATATTTAAAGTTCTTTTACTCATTAACAGTCTGCAAGTTCGTGCATTTTTTGTGTTTGTTAAATCGGCCTGTGTATCGAAAAAAAGAATTGTGTAAGTTTCAAAGTTTTATTTTTCTCTATAACTTTTTTTTTTTGGCGAATGAAAAAATCTAAATAATGATGAGAGAGAGAGAGAGAGAGAGAGAGAGAGAGAGCATTGTCTTAATTATAATAGTATAGATTATCTCTTATTTGATAATTTTGTATATTCTATATGTTTCTAGATTTTTAAATCTGTTTCATTTTTGTCCTTGTCTCTTTTACCACGATTTTTATCATATTTCTATATTTTTCAACAGTCGCTTTTATGTCAGATTTATATATCGAGTTTTGAGAGTCAATTATTCTCAGATCTTAAATTTTTAAAAGATTTGCTCGAAAGAAAAATTTGAAGCGATATTATCGAAAGTATAATATAATCTGATAAAAAAGAGTCTCTAATAAATATTTGCTGATATAAATTTTCCTCCACTTCCATAAATTTTCCGCCGCATACTTTCGTAATGTTAATGCAAAATATACATCTAATTAAATTGAATATCTAAAATGTATATAAATATTGAACATATATATGGATGTAAAAGAGCATCTCATTTACTCCAACATGACTACATTAGCACGTTTACACTTCAATGACTCATATGTGAGACAATATTGTTCCAAGAATCTAACAATATAGGTATATCATGATAATAGGCATAGTGTTGAAAAAAAGAATTGTGTAAGTTTCAAAGTTTTATTTTTCTCTATAACTTTTTTTTTTGGCGAATGAAAAAATCTAAATAATGATAAGAGAGAGAGAGAGAGAGAGAGCATTGTCTTAATTATAATAGTATAGATTATCTCTTATTTGATAATTTTGTATATTCTATATGTTTCTAGATTTTTAAATCTGTTTCATTTTTGTCCTTGTCTCTTTTACCACGATTTTTATCATATTTCTATATTTTTCAACAGTCGCTTTTATGTCAGATTTATATATCGAGTTTTGAGAGTCAATTATTCTCAGATCTTAAATTTTTAAAAGATTTGCTCGAAAGAAAAATTTGAAGCGATATTATCGAAAGTATAATATAATCTGATAAAAAAGAGTCTCTAATAAATATTTGCTGATATAAATTTTCCTCCACTTCCATAAATTTTCCGCCGCATACTTTCGTAATGTTAATGCAAAATATACATCTAATTAAATTGAATATCTAAAATGTATATAAATATTGAACATATATATGGATGTAAAAGAGCATCTCATTTACTCCAACATGACTACATTAGCACGTTTACACTTCAATGACTCATATGTGAGACAATATTGTTCCAAGAATCTAACAATATAGGTATATCATGATAATAGGCATAGTGTTTAAAGTGGAAAATATTTACATTGTTACCATAAGACTCTCTTATCACTTTTTTTAGATGTACGAGTGACATATTCACGCTTGAAGATAAGAATTGTGAATGTGCTAATATTTCGCGAATTTATAATAACTTATTCAACGCTGCGAGTCATGAAAAATTCACGGAGAGATTCATCTTTGCATTTGCGTTAGTATTAAAATATATATTTGAAGAACTGACTGTGTAATCTTTTCTTCGATATTCTGGAAGTGTTGAATTAACGATTAGTTCTATATCATCGATCGTTACCTATTTATAACGAGCAATACTGTATACTGTATTGCTTGACATGTGACAAAACAAGTAATTTATTAGAAATAAAACAGAATAAATATTTAAATTTAGTCGTATAAGGATATTACTCCGTATAAATCTTAATTTTAACGCATGTTGAAATAACGGATGTTAAATTATTGAATCACTTCATATAATTGTCACAATTTTTTAAAATTTTGCTCTTATTTTTAATCTAAATTTTCTCATGTTTATCAATTCTAGAGGACTTTAATAAATTAATTTACATAAGAATTAAGTTCCTACTTTGCATTTTGGAGAGCTAGTATAAACGAACAGTTTCCCACTTAGAGATTTAAAAGAGAGACTTTCCCGCGGAAGAAAATTTTTCAAATAAAATATAAGTTAAATAATCTAAAAAAAAAAAGATGATTTGATTGCTTAAAGTGTCAAAGCAGATATTAGATTGAAAATTAAGATAAAAAATAGGAAAAAGAATTTGACTCGATTTAAAATCATCAGAAAATTATGGCGATTTAAATCTGGCTGCAGGCATGGTGGACGGTTACCTCGTGTGGAATCCGAAATGTCACATGCTGTCCAAAGAGCCTCTGGATCCGTCCATCGCGAAATTCGTGAGGAAGGAGAAGCTGCAGAAATGTCCGAACGATCTCATCCTCTCGCAAATTTCGAGAGAACCTAACGGCAGCGTGTTTCTTTCCCTCGATTCCGCCATGCACAGCGACGTCATCTGCTGCTGGTCATCCGTGGTCAGACCCAAGGTGGACAAGCCCAAGAAGAATAACTACGACTCGACGATATCGTAAGATTCATCCTGATACTCTCTATGAATTTCTATTTTAAGGCAGTTTGCTTTGTAAATTGGTTTGGTAAGAAAAATTAACTTGCCTTTTATTTGCAATTAAGAAAAACTGATTTTAAATAGATATTAAAATTAAAATCTACTTGCAGTATATTATTAGAGTCTTCTGGAAATCGATTCTCTCTTCTCAATAGAGTCAAGCAGTGCGAGAATTTCACGGGACACGTGGCACTCGCCCGCGAAGTGGAAGTGGCGTACGTATCGTGCAAGGCGAAGACCAAGTCGAAACCCAAGGCGAAGACGAAATCGTCGACGAAGACGGTGTACGAGAATGTTCACGCAATTTTGAATCCGGAGAAGGTGCGCGATCGCAACGGCAGCCAGTCCGGGAACTCGACGAGGAAGCTAAGCGTGCTCGTCCTCGGCATCGACAGTGTCAGCCGACTGAATTTTTATCGCGCTATGCCGAAGACCGAGAAGTATCTGCGCGAGGCCGGTTGGATCGGTTTGAAAGGCTACAACAAGATCGGCGACAACACGTTTCCGAATCTGATGGCGATTCTGACCGGTCAGACGCCGCAACAGGCGTACTCGCAATGCAAACCGACGGTGGCCTACAAGCTCGACAACTGTCCTTTCGTCTGGCACAATTTCCGCAACGCCGGCTACGTCACGGCCTACGGCGAGGACGAGACAGCCCTCAATACATTTAACTACCTCAAGGTCGGCTTTGTCGAGCCGCCCACGGATTACTACCTGAGACCTTATATGCTGGCCAGCGAGAAGCTTCTCAAAATTAAAAAAAGGTAAGATAATTTAATTTATTGTTATTTAAAGGGCATGAGTCGATGTTTCATTGATTGAAAAGGTCTCAATTCGCGCTGTTTGCAGATTCAACATGAAATACTGCACCGGTCCCGAATTGAGCTTTGACCGGATCTTCGATTACGCCGTGAATTTCGCCCGGACTTTTGTCGGCGTGCCGTACTTCGGTTTCTTCTGGACGAACACCATCAGCCACGACAACATGAACGGCATCTCGTCGATAGACACTCATATGTTGAAGAGATTTGAATTTTTGGAACAAGACGGGATTTTGAACGACACAATGATAATCTTCCTGAGCGATCACGGTATGCGATGGGGCGAGTTTCGCACAACCTTTGTCGGTTGGTACGAGGAGAGGTTACCGTACATCTACATCTGGCTACCCGAGTGGTTCCGCCGGGAGAATCCCGAGGCCTATCGAGCCCTCGCGGTGAATCAGAACCGACTCACTTCTCCGTTCGATCTCTACGAGACCTTAAGGGACATCCTCATCATCGGAGGTGGCGATGCCGATCCTAGTCCGGGATGTTCCACCTGTCAATCCCTCTTCACGCCTGTTCCCAGAGAGAGAGGCTGTCTTGACGCGGGAGTAGCTTATCATTGGTGTACCTGCACGGCCTTCAAACCAATCAACGTCAACAACAAGATCGTCACCGCTGGCGTGCAGAAGTTTCTGGATCACGTGGAAAACATTGTGAAAAATTACAAGGACAAGAAGGGTCGACGATTGTGTGCGCGGCTCAGGCTAAAAAAGATGCATCAGGTGAACGAGATGATCGATTTCGGCGCGGAAAACCAATCCAGCGTCGCGTATTTCTACATGATCCAGACAACGCCCGGGAACGGTAACTTCGAGGTCACCATCAGGTACCACGGCGTCAACAATTACACTCTGTCCGACAGCGAAGTCAGCAGAATTAATCCTTACGCCACGAGCGCGAGGTGTCTAAATCGTGGCATGAAGCAGTATTGCCATTGCATCAAGTAGACACTGTGAACTCTCGGGAACGGGAATTTTTCATCTTGCGCGCGTTGTACTTCATTAGTGTTTCGATGAATTGAATCGATCACCGCACAAAAAAATCAACTGTTTTTTAATCAAAAACATTAAAGTTTTTATAAGTGTAGTTGTATCTCCACAACGGATGGCGAAGAATATTCAGACTTTACTTCAAATAATTTTTTCGAAGCGAAAAGCTCGCGAAATTATTACAAGAAGATTCGATTTTACGACGTGTGTTTTTCCTGCAACGATCGATTCAATTTAATCAAAATCTTTATCAAATATCTAATACTACGTTTGTGGTTTTATTTTCGATTTTTAAATTGTACATGCGAAAGCGTGAGGCACAGCTGATATGCTTAGTATATATCAAACATACCAAATCGATTGCCTCATCTCAAGGAACTAGGGACCTGAGTGGATATAGATGGACATACTTTCTCGTTTATCGAGAATAACTAGGACTAGATTTTTTTAGGCCACTTGGCACTTAAATGATAAACAATAATTCAATAGTCAGTTCGATATTAATGAAGTGAATAAGTTTTTGTTTTTTATCGAGATTTTAAAATAAAATCGTTATTGATAAATGGAAATTAAATATGAGCTAAATGTCAAAAATTTCTAGTTACGACGAGAAATGTTTCAAGTTATATATTTTTGCACAAGGACGTTATTATAAGAATCTTACAATATTAAATTAATAATGAAACTTCTTCAATTATGATATTTGAAGTATTAGGCATTTTCTCTGTGTCACGCAATTCTACCAATATTATTTTTGACAATTAGCTGGTATTTGTTATTCACTCTTCATTTTCGTAGCTTAATCGCGAGAAAGAAAAATAATCGTGAAAGAACGAGCGCATCGCGTGAAAAATCAATTTAGTAAATTTCATGTCTCTGCAATTTGCCGTGCAATTAATTGTCATGCATAACATATTGCGGTATCGTACATATCTTATATCAGAGAATGCGGGAATCGTTATTGCGGTAATTTTTTCCACGCATCGTTGCATCGATCGCGAATGTATATACGACACGTCGCCGTCGTTCCGTTTAGAATCGATATACGTTAAAGATGCATGAAAGCGTAAGTGTCGGTATAACCATACAAGAGCTAAGGACGTACGCGGAAGTGCATGAATGTATTTTCGCGACGGTACTCGTTCCGTCTTACCGATGTTGTACTACAAGGCATTAGCTGTTTGTAAGTAACGCGTGTGCCTGTCTTAGAAGAAGTGCCAAATGCGTTCTGTGCTATAACCGAGCGTCAAAACAAACTTCCTTACTTCCTGCACCGATGGCGATCACTATCGGACTATGACAATTTTACGACAATTTTACGTGAAATTTAAAAAAATAAACGAGTGAACAAAATATTGTGTTGATAACAAAAATAAATACGAATAATAAATCTCATGTTTTGGCTCTATAGTATTTTAGAGACGAATTCTTGAATGAATTTGCTCTTTTTCCTCACGGAAAGTCAAGAAAGATTATTATCTGCTTATTGTAATGAATATAAAACCGACTTCAAATTTTTACTTTTCCCTCCCTTCGAAGTATTTATACCTTAAATATTCTTTAAAAGGAGACTTCTTGTATATTTTATTACAAAGCGCATGATCGCCTTCGTGTACGAGTAGTACGGAATTTTATGTATAAGAGGAAAAATAAGGAGAGAGAGAGGCCAATGAATATATCGCAACATATATTTTACTACGATGTTATGTACGCTTTATTCTAGGTAACGCGAAGATGTAATAATTAGAAGACAGTGTAATTAATGAGTACTTCAAGATTATTGGGACGGAGACTAACAATTTTACGACAATTTTACGTGAAATCTAAAAAAATGAACGAGTGAACAAAATATTGTGTTGATAACAAAAATACGAATAATAAATCTCATGTTTTGACTCTATAGTATTTTAGAGACGAATTCTTGAATGAATTTGCTCTTTTTCCTCACGGAAAGTCAAGAAAGATTATTATCTGCTTATTGTAATGAATATAAAACCGACTTCAAATTTTTACTTTTCCCTCCCTTCGAAGTATTTATACCTTAAATATTCTTTAAAAGGAGACTTCTTGTATATTTTATTACAAAGCGCATGATCGCCTTCGTGTACGAGTAGTACGGAATTTTATGTATAAGAGGAAAAATAAGGAGAGAGAGAGGCCAATGAATATATCGCAACATATATTTTACTACGATGTTATGTACGCTTTATTCTAGGTAACGCGAAGATGTAATAATTAGAAGACAGTGTAATTAATGAGTACTTCAAGATTATTGGGACGGAGACTAATTGATCTCCGTCGAAAGTCAGCCAAGCCAGATTAAAACGAATTTTCCGTAGGTTACAGAAATATAATTTAATTGCCAAAAACATTTAGCATCGTATTCTTCGAACATAAATCTTCGGTTAGAAGAGGTAGTGTCAAAGACTAACACAAACTTGTTGTTAGTCATTAATGATTTTACAGATAGAATTGTTAATTCGGGCACCGTCTATACAGAGAGATTTGTGTATACGTCTTTGAAAATAGATTGTCTTTACTATCATTAAATTATTATTAAACATCACATTATTTGAAAGCATATTTTACTTTCCCTCTTTTCTAAAAGTACTTTTATAGAAATCAATCTCGGATATAACACGAGATTGGATAATCGCAACTTTATTAGAGAAATTTATTCTACATAGTATCCCCCCCCCCGATTATTACTTAAAAAGTTTTTAATCCTTTTCAATAATTTAACCATTTAATTTTTTAAATCTTTGATTAATCTGTTTAACATAACGTAATTACTTATTTTAATGAAAACTGAAAGACATCAAATTAGATTTATTTTCGATCGCTGTCATTCGTGGACAGAAAAGTTTGTATGATAATAAATCATAAAGTTAATACAAGTGTTTCTTACCTTCTTCTTTCCTTGGTTTTTAAATCAGAATCTTATATGTATATCTCTGACTTGCAAGACTACATTCTATTTTTTTCAATTATTATTCTTCTCATCGCCAAAAAATTAACACAATAGTTATCATCCTTTTTTGCTCTCGATCAAGGAGAAATTAGTTCGATGAAGCATCCTCGCTAGATCGCCAGATGCGTGCACGCACATGCCTCTCTCTTGTAATTTGACGCGGCGTCGCGACTGGATGACGCGTGGGACCGTGCTCCGGAGTGCCGAACAACATCACGGCGACCGATTGTCTGTGTCCGTGGCTAACGTTTATGTTTCTGCGCGCCAGATACAAATCGAGGATCTTGATGCCCTCGTAGAGGCTGTCTAGATCACAGCTGGTGTATCCAGGTCGACCGTTGCCAGATCGTCCAGATCGCTGGCCGACAACGCTCTTTGGCGTGCCGCTCGGCGTGTTCGCCATCGTGCTGGAATTTGTGGTGCAACCGAGACTGCTTGCCGCCTCCGACACGATCTCGAAATCGTCCTGCAATTTATCGTAGCTGCTGCACGGACTGATAGTCGAGATCTTAGTGACGCAGCTGTCGCGAGAGAACCTTCTGCAAGAGTGATGCAAAGTACCACAGGGTGACGACGCTGCCGTGGAGTTGGCGCTATGATAAAGTGGTTTCATTAACTTAGAACCCAAGATTCGAACGACGGTGCTTTTCGAGAGAGAAAAATCCTCCTCTTGATGATCATCGATTTTTTCCGCGGAAGAAGATGCGATCGCTGTTTGATCGCATTCCAGTTCGCAATTATCACTTATCGGTGTTGCAGAAATTGATATATTGCTGGCGGAATGATCTTGGACATTAGAACACTCGATGACGCAGCCGCACGCACCTTCGCAAGAGCAGCTCGCGTTCCTCTCGTCCGATCTGTCACTAGTTCTTGAAAGAAATAAAAAAAATAATTAAATATAAAAAATATATATTAATAGATATGTGTGTATAAATTACCTATCGATATCCTCATCGTGCTTTTCTTCTGTAACGTGTTGACTATTCGCTTTTAATACTTCTACAGTATTTTCTTGAACTGTTTCTGAAACAATATGATCCTCTTTCGGAGGACTTTTGAGTCGACAATTCGTATCCGGAACGGTACAATCCGTCAGATACGTATCAAGAGTTTCAGCGTCCGTGGACGAGGATGAACGATCGTCGGAAGAGGATTGAGGATACTGCGCGCTGCGTCGAAGCCAATTGCGACGAATAGGACACATCTGTTTCATCGATGCCGATAAACCAGCTAAATTCATGTTTCGCAGTATGGTTCCCGGGGGTGTGATGTACGGCGGTGGTGGACTTTCAGGTAGCGCACGTCGATCGTTCTCCGATGCTACCGGGGTTGTTTGTCTGCTACTACTGTTGTTCGCGCCCTCCACTACCAAGTAAGTAGAGGAAGTCGCGTCCTCGTCGAACCTTAATCGCAAAACTCAAGATTAAATTCTTGGATATTATATAGAATATAATATTCACATTATATGTCCATATATAAAGAATTGTTCCAAATTATATATTATATATGAAAATATTGTAGCATAATTAAAGATAAAGTTTCTTGACAAATTAAATATTAAATATGCAAATAAAAAAATCAAATTTTTAAATTTATTTTTAAGTGTTCATTGTTTCATAAGAGGACTTTAATACAGAAATATTACAACTATATATATATATAATTTTAATATAATTTATGTATCGGATGTCCTTGTTGTGCTGGTGAGAATTAAACGATAATTTATCATCTTTCTTAATTCTGACTTCTAAAATAAGTTACTTCTGCCGAGATAATGTTTTTTATCCGAATCTTATGATATTCAAAAGAATTTTCTAAAAAGATTACAAACGCATACCTAAAAGCTCGCTGATTGTCTCTAGACGAGACTGCAGTTCTCTTCGTTGTCTCGCTCCTCCTATTCTGTACAGCAGTATAATGAGTGTCGTTATCAGAATAATCAGGCCGAGGCTGCTGGCAACGAACACCAGGGTGGCCGTTTTCAGATCGGGATATTGTTCGATCTTCGGAAAGTAATAATTCGCTTTGTTCATGTGCCATTTCCGCTCGCGCGGCTCCATCTCCCAATCTGTGCGATATTTTATTGAAAATCAATTCGTAAAATGGCTGTGCAAATTTTAAATATTTTATCGATGCAATTAACATACTTTATTTTTCAAATTTTTCAAAAAAATGATATTGATCTTTTTTATTGTTTTATGGTCTCCTCAATGGCCTTATTATTATTAAAAAACTTATTATTATTAAAAAACTCAAAACGAGAAATTTTCTCTAAATAATATTTACTTATTTCAAATTATTATAAAAGAAAATGTTTTTATCTGTATTATTATAAATAATTTCAGATTAGAATGTCAGATTTTTAAAGTGCTATTTCGACAAATGTAATATTTTCGCACTAGAAATAACATTAACACAGTATATAACTCCTAAAAAAGTCTCTTTTATATCAAGTCTCTGTAAATTATCTCTTCAAATTATAAATACTCACTTTGAAAACACGTCGCTGGCTCGTCACTATTATCACCACAATGATCGAAACCATCGCAATTCAGCTGATTCGGAATGCATCTGTGATTCTGACATAAAAAATCGGTATCCGCAAAGCAATCTGCAATGTTCGATCAGAGGCAAATGAAACAGATTTAATAACAGATTCAATCGGAGCAAAGAAATTACCTTGTAATCATTATCAAAGACAGACTTACTTATGTAGCTGAAGGCTGCGTAAGCGATCGCCAAGTGCGAATTTGGACCGAATGTACCACGAAGACTCACGTGGAATCCGCTCGTGACCGGCGTAATGTGTTCCCGGTGTCTGAAAGATTGCAACTGACTCGATGGATGTCGGATTACTTCCAGCGACATTAAAGCTGAGGTTGGACCCTCTTTGATGATTAATTCCGTATTGCCGGCTGAGAAACGATAATTTTACGGAAAAATCGATTACGCTTATTTTTGATAATCGGTGTTTTAAAGTCTTTATATTTGTTCCATTCTTTTCGTATAATTGTACTATTAAAAGATCAATTTAAAATCGATCAAAAGGGATATATATTGTACATATAGAAAAAAAAGAACGTAGTAAGTTTTAAACATTTTTACAAAATTTTGACTTTTGTTGCTCTTGCAAATTATTTATATTTCGCCTATTTTTTATAGAACGTTTATAGAAACTTTAATTCAACTTTATTCGAGTTTGCTTGATAATAAACCTTTTGTCCCCTTTTGCATACGTACCCATGTCGGCGAAAGCCACTACCTTCAGATACATGTGCGTTTTCATGTGCAGGAAGTTCTTGGGTGGTCTGATTAGCCAGACACAATCGTAAATTTTCACACCTTGACCGACCATGTTCATCATTGTAATAGCGCCGCCCAGATTCTCCACATATCCGCCGCAGTCGGTGATCGGTTGTATGGATTTGTCGTATGTATGGCCGATTACAAAGGAGTAAAAAGCCTTGTAACCCAGACCGGTACCGCCGTTCGCATAAAATCTTACTAGCAACGACGGGCCGGAACTTACTATGATCGGCGGTCGAAATCGGGCGCCGCTACTCACGTCCAAACGTTGTCCATTCCAATCGTAAAACTAATCATACAAAAACATTCAAGTGTCATAATATTTAAAATTCTTTAGAAATTAATTAAACGTATAAGCTCGGCATCTATAATTTGTCAAAATTTAAGAGTTACTGAAAATTTATTCGAAATCAAAGACATCCCTGGCCGAGAAATGATTCAAACAGTACAAGAGAAAAAATCTAAAAGACATCTGAATACCTTAAACATTCTTCAGATTTGCAAACTATATTATTTAATGAAATTAATTATATTTTAGGAAAACGTTACAAATAATATAAATAATTGTACAACATTAAAAGTATCGAAATAAAAATGAAACATATGACATCGCGATTCACTTCTCGAAAGTTTTTATCATTATAAAGAGATTTTAAAGATTGTTAATATTATATTAAAAAACTATATATTAAAAATATACCTCCATAATAGAGACCGTCGCTAATTGAAAGTCGCTAAATAGCAACCTGATGCGACAGGAGGGAGCTTCGGTGGGACACGTTATCACGTATTCCAGACCCAAGTCACGGGGATATCGAGCTGGGAAAAATGGCGAGGTCAAAATACCATTGCCAGTAGTACCATTCAAACCCTTTGTCGGCGCTCCCGATGTCATTTCCGTGCCTTTCAAATGCAATCTATTTCCTACGCAGCGAAAGCGTCGATTATAAGAATACTTTATGCCGTGATATATATAATCCAATTATATCTAAATTATTTTAGTTATCTCAAACATTTTTTTTAACGCACACATAAATATTCGGAGATTAAATTATTTTTGAATTACAGTAATTTAAATTCTACATTTGTGGACACTTATAACAACAATATTTATTAGTATAAAATATTATTGACTATCTCTACTAACTTTCTGCCGTGTATTCGATAGTGAATGCATGCTTATGGGACTGGCTATAAAATAGATTTATAGACAGGGTTCTCGTGCTCGATCTATATGTGATCGGTGTATATGATCCGCAGAACGGCGTGCCGGAAACATCCTCATAAGGTGGTTCCGAGAGCCACACGTAGTCACATCTACAAAAGCACACATATTTAATTTCAAAGCTCGTGGTTGGCGTAATGTGATGTATAACGCCGAGATATGAAAGCAAGCTATGATAGAATTTCATTTCATGACAGAATTAAATTGAAACTGAATTAAATTAGTTAAAGCTAAGTTAAATAGTTTCAGTTGCAAGGGCTTTCTAATGGCCTTATTTAATATTAATTATAATATTATGATCATTAACTATATTGCAAATATTAATATTAATATTATACTAAAGTTATTCAATTTATGGCAACGACCAACCGACTTAAATAAGCAGCTAAATTATGTTAATTACAATAATAATAATAATAATATTATATCACTTTAATATGAATATATTATATTGTTATATTATACTTTTAAATCCAAGTTTTTTCAGAGCTTTACGCTTAAAAATTAATCCAAAGGAGATTAATTCCTATAAAACTAATGCGATCGCCCCACGTAACCGTCTCACCTGCAAGGGCTGTCCATCACGATGACCCCATCGCCGCAATGATGCGATAAGGCAATGTTTTTAAAAGTAACAACTATTACGCAGGACGGACAGGTCACCAGTTCGAGGCTGCACTGATGATGGGAGCCGTTGGTGATGGTGGTGGAGTAAAGACGCGACGTCAGCTGCCTCGGCGAATTCTTGATAAAGCTGACGTTCTTCGCGTAGAGGATACCTTTCTCGCCCAGCTCCAAGTATAGACGTCTGCCATTGTGCGATCCACAAATGTCCTCGTTTTGGACGATGTTCCCGGTAGTTGCGATGATCCACCAAAACGTCACGACGATCACTAAATTTATGTGATAAAAAAAATGTCCGAAATACCACTGATTGAAAGCTTACAGAAGATTCAATTTTTGAAACGAAAACGACAGATATAAGATAGAGCGCAAAAACATAAAATATAATTTTTTTATAAATTTTTAGGAATTAATATCCAACTCTCCATAAGGGAAAATATTAATTGATTAAGAATTATGTACGTCGAAAACTTCATCGAATTTCACAGCAAGTGAAAAGTCTTGACTGTTGTATTTCTTACCATATTTAAAACGATACATATTCGTAGCACGGAAAGCGACCTTCTGCGCTTTCTGTCAAGAAACCTGACGCGGTTGCGTATAATTTCATTAGCTCGACAACACAGTGTTATACACCTGCTAATATCGAATAAGGCATTCTTATGGCATCTCTCAAGCGCTTGACAATCATATTGTAGTATAGTTTACAGATAGGATTTGGTAAAGTTCGACATGGACGACCTCGTGACGGAATTTTGTAGCATGAAAAATGTTACGTTATGTTATGTAATTATCTTATTTCTACAACCACACATTTCTGATCGTCTTCAACAGATCACCTCTTCAATATCCTATGTTTTAAAATTATCTAACAATTGAATCCATGATTATACGAATAATATAATAAAAATATAATAATAATTTTTTCCTTCTTTTTTTTGCGTGCTTTTTGTATCATAATCTAATTGGAACAAATATTAAATATAAGAAAATGCTGTCTTTATTTTTTTTACAATTTATTTTCGAAACATATATGCACATACATATATCATAGCAATCATAGCCAAATTTGATTTCCACGCTTCAAAACATATAAAATACAAGAGTTTTACTCTTAAAAATAAGAGAAGGAATCTTTAGAATAAACATTTATTATCTTTTTTACGGCGCTTCCGATATTACCCCAGACAGCACAAAACGTCCTCAGGATCATCCTGATGTCCAGGATGGTTCAGGATATTTGTAGGATGGAGAAATAAAAATTAATAATAATCGAATGATCATTTCCTAAATAATTATTAATAAGGCATAAAAATTTGTAAAGTTTGAAAATATCCACGCTGCCAAATTATATACTGGCATATACTACTTGTAAAATATATGTCATATGTTTACTTATCATGTGACGCGGTAGCGCCGCATATCGCACGAACGATGAGAGATCCTGATTTATTGACAGATATTCCGGAACTGTCAAATGATTCGCCCGAGATGGATCTCAGCATTCATCCGGAGAGGCAAAGATTCCCTTTTTGCATCGTTTGGACCCCATTGCCATTGTTAACGTAAGTTAGTTTTGATTATACATATTATAATCATAACCTCGTCTCCTACGTATTTGACATTTGACAAAATGCGTTATTTCTTTTTACTCTACTATATACATATTAACAATTGTCGTATATATAAAGTATCGTACAATAATTCATGAAATTTTAGGATTTCTCTTAGTAAATAAAAATTAATAAACCATCATGTTAAATAAATTTCATTACTTGAACTTGATATATTTATTTTTGATTTTTAAGATATTTTCTACCATTTATCGGACACATGGGTATTGCAACGTCAACAGGAGTAATAAGAGACTTTGCTGGTCCTTATTATGTCTCTGAAGACAACATGGCATTTGGTAAACCTACCAAATATTGGCAATTAGATTATACCAAAGCCAAGGGAAGCATACAAGGATGGGACACTGGTGTGGCAGAAGCTAGCGAAATTTATAAGACTAGAATGGTAATGAACCAATTCAGAAAATATAAAGCTTTTATATATGATAGCTATGATATAGAACTAATCTTTTTACAGCACAATTTATGTTGTGATAATTGTCATTCGCATGTGGCAACAGCTTTGAACTTGATGTCGTATGATAACTCAAGCAACTGGAATATGGTGAAACTTGCTTTTCTTATGTTGTTTCATGGGAAATACGTAAGGTAAAATCTATATATATGTGTGTGAATGTATATGTGTGAATAAAAATTTATATATTCATATATGCCTATTTTATTAATATTATTTATTATGTTTGTTTCAGTGTTCTAGGATTTCTTAAAACTTGGTTACCTTTCTGCATAATTGTCACAATTGTACTAGTATTAAGTTTGTGTGCATATTAATTATAAAGTGTAAATCAATTTAAATTATATATTTAAGATACAATCTTATCTTCATATACTCATTATAAAAATTTGACAAGAACATATTTATAGAATATAAGAACAAAATTTTACAAAAATATATTTATAGAACATAAAAATAATTTATTATGCTTAATTTTTACAATGTAAAATAAACATATATATAATGATTATATAAGTGTTATATAATAATAAAATTAAATTCGAGATATATGGCTTCTGATAACATTATATTCTAAACATCTAAAGAAAATAATTAACATTTGTTATTTTACAGAAAATAATTAAAGCTGTATAGTATTAAAAAATCAAAACAACTATTTTTCTTAACTTGCACAATATGTCACGAGACATGTAACATCCAATACGTGCTTTAATCACATGGGCAATATCGAAGAAGAAACTATTTCTTTGAGCAAGATCAAATTAAAGAATAAATTCTAAAAGACATTTTTTTCATTATAATTGATTTCATTAAACTAGTTTCCTTCTCAAAGATACTAGACTGCATATCAATATTTAATATATTCCTATATTAATAAATTTTTATTTAGAAGTCATATTTTCATTTGTTCTAATATAAAAGAAACAAGAACACTTTAAAAAACTGTAGTTTATGTGGAATTAAAAAATCAAACTTGACATTTAACAAGTGAGTATTATATGACACAATCATCACTTTAAAAATATGATTTTATTATACATTCAAATAACTAACAATAAAAAATACACACATATATACTTAAGTTTGATTCCTTAATTCATAGAATATACACTCTTATTACATAACAATCAGAGGGATTTCAAGTTAGTCGTCAGTCTGGCTATCCATTTCTGAAATAACTCCTGTTTCAAGAGAAAAATCATAATCGTAATTTTGATTTTCTAATCTTTCGACAAAAGATGATATTTCGCTAATCCGTAGGCCATCTATCTCCAAGTCATTATTCATATTACTTTGCAAGTGTTTGCATAACTTAAATGGCACACCGCTTAGATAATGCGGAGCATCCGCTTGTTGAGTTAAATTTGGTAAATTACCAGCTGACATTGTAGGATTCATTGGTGTTCCACCGATAAACGGATATAATCCACTGGGATAAGGTGTGCTTGGGCCATCAACATTAGGTGGCAATGATGTTCTTCTTCTTTCGATTACTACAAATTCATCTCCTGAATCTGCAAGGGTCTGTTGCTCTTGTTCATCCCTGGATTCGGGAGGTGAATCCTTATGCTTCTTTTTGCCAAAGAGCCAAGACATCTTCTGCAAGATATTTTGTTCTAAAAGTCTGTCAGGACTCTATTACACAAATAGTCAATTTTAGAAAGACATGCTCGAAATTTAAAATCTTTAAATAAAATAAGAAGTTAAGAGTGTAAAAAAAGAATAACACACTTTAAAAAGTTAGTGTCGTTTTATCTATACAAGATACTTGTTTATTAGTTGGGAATTAAAAACTAATCTTACAATGACTAAATAGAAAAGTATTTATATATATTAACATAAGAAAATATTTCATCTGTAATAATGTTATCTATAACCTAACCTAAGAAAGTGTTACAGATAATGCACTCTTGTAAAACATGAAAATTTATTTTTAAGATAGAATGTACTTTTAAAAATTTAAAGGGATTTTCCTTTAAATAAATGTTTCCTAGCTTGGTATTGTAAAGAAAGATATTACTTTATAAGATTTTTCAGTCTTATAGAGCTGTTAACATTATCATACATGACAGAAATATTATAAGCCGTAGGATAAGATAGCGAAAAAAAAACACAAAACTTACTCACATACAGGCAGTTAAAAAAATTAAAAAAAGGGTTAAAATCACAGACTCAATCAACAGCCCACATTAAAGACTGACCATACTGCTATCGCTTTTCTTAATCGTTTCTTCGAGACAAATAAATGCGCGTTTAAACACGCAAAACTGTTAGACTTTAGTCGGAAACACGCAAAACATGGAGTCGGTTAATCAAAATAAAACAATCTTGCTTGCACTTTGCTAGATGTCAAATGAGTCAGTTCGTTTTAACTGCTGTTTGTGTACTTAAAATAAAACATATGTATATTTAGTTGTATTTTGTCGCTTTCAAGAGAAAGAAACAAAATATTGAAAGTGTAAAGTAAAATGAAGAACGATACATGTAATGTCATTTTAAAACAAGAGATCGAATCGATAGATTACACTCGTAACAATTTTATTTTTTTTGTTTATCTTACAATTAATCAAGAGTTGTGTCATCACATTATTTTAATCTTATTATTTATCTCCCTCAGCATAGTTTTAATTATAATCGTTATATATACGCATATTTTACAATTAAACATTTATTTAGTCATATAAAAATTGATATCACAAAAGGGACAAACAGATTTCTCTATTTTGATTAGTTGATTCTATTGATCAAACAATTCGAAGCATTTGTAGCATCAAGTCGATCATATTCTATTCGTGTAGTACGTACACTTGACATTGCAAATGTTTCGAATCGCCTGATTGGTCAGTTAGGACAAAAAAGGCAAAAGTCTTGTTTTGATTGGTCAATCAACCACTTTGCAGCATTTGCTAGGGCCTAGTCGATCTAGAGCAATCTAGAAATTTCACTAGTTCATGGACGCCATATTAATTTCACGAGCGGCCGTTATTTACATCGACCATCGCCAGATATCAGCACCATTTCGAATCGCCTGCATCGCTGTGAGGAATTAACCGGGGAATTTTTGATAATTATTAATTGTATTAGGTCGAAAGGTAGTAAAAAGACGCTAATGTTTTATTTTTAATCATCCGATCTATGTATAATTCTAAATATTTTCATTTTTTTTTAATTAACTAGTCAGATTATTCAACTCGCTATTAATTTTACAATTTGCAACTCCGTGAAGTTGCAGTTGTACGTGTGTACTCTTATATACGCATTTAATATTATTATATATACATTTGAATATATATATTTCTAAATGAAATATTTCACGTGAAACTCTTATCACTCGTACTCATTTGCGTTATCATATTTCGGTAGTGATATTTGATGCCCGATAAGGGCATAAAAGTGAATTTTCGCGAACAACGCAATACGGCTAAATTCTGCGCTATCTAAACGATAGCATCTCGTGCGGCGGTGACGACGAGCGTTCACGAGCGTCGGCGGAAAAAGCCGAAGGGCCACGCGACCTTTGTAGGTCGCGGGACCGTTGGCGGACTCGCCGCGTGTTGTTTTCTCGCGCGAAAGACGCGTCTCCGATTATTTATTTTCGCGCGAATCTCGCGAAAAGGGACGCCGCAGCCACCACCTATCGTTTCCGGGACGCGTTTTCCACGGGCGCATGCGTGCCGCCAAACGCGCGTATATATATGCGCGTGTGTACATGTGTGTGTGTCACGTAGCCTCTTTCGGGGGATCGCGCGCGGCCGGTCTTATCGTAGTTCGACAAAGCTCGTCGAGGTAGCGGCGCAATCGCATTGTTTTTGTGTCGCACGCACGCATGTACTGTACGCACGTATCGTAATCCGAAACGCACCGCGCGAGTGAATCGCGTATCCGGCGAGTGAGTCGCGTACCTCCTTTGCGTCTCTCGTGTTTTTTTTTTTTTTTTCGCGCTTCTCGATTTTCACGAGCGGCCGTTATTTACATCGACCATCGCCAGATATCAGCACCATTTCGAATCGCCTGCATCGCTGTGAGGAATTAACCGGGGAATTTTTGATAATTATTAATTGTATTAGGTCGAAAGGTAGTAAAAAGACGCTAATGTTTTATTTTTAATCATCCGATCTATGTATAATTCTAAATATTTTCATTTTTTTTTAATTAACTAGTCAGATTATTCAACTCGCTATTAATTTTACAATTTGCAACTCCGTGAAGTTGCAGTTGTACGTGTGTACTCTTATATACGCATTTAATATTATTATATATACATTTGAATATATATATTTCTAAATGAAATATTTCACGTGAAACTCTTATCACTCGTACTCATTTGCGTTATCATATTTCGGTAGTGATATTTGATGCCCGATAACGGCATAGAAGTGAATTTTCGCGAACAACGTAATACGGCTAAATTCTGCGCTATCTAAACGATAGCATCTCGTGCGGCGGTGACGACGAGCGTTCACGAGCGTCGGCGGAAAAAGCCGAAGGGCCACGCGACCTTTGTAGGTCGCGGGACCGTTGGCGGACTCGCCGCGTGTTGTTTTCTCGCGCGAAAGACGCGTCTTCGACGCGTCTCCGATTATTTATTTTCGCGCGAATCTCGCGAAAAGGGACGCCGCAGCCACCACCTATCGTTTCCGGGACGCGTTTTCCACGGGCGCATGCGTGCCGCCAAACGCGCGTATATATATGCGCGTGTGTACATGTGTGTGTGTCACGTAGCCTCTTTCGGGGGATCGCGCGCGGCCGGTCTTATCGTAGTTCGACAAAGCTCGTCGAGGTAGCGGCGCAATCGCATTGTTTTTGTGTCGCACGCACGCATGTACTGTACGCACGTATCGTAATCCGAAACGCACCGCGCGAGTGAATCGCGTATCCGGCGAGTGAGTCGCGTACCTCCTTTGCGTCTCTCGTGTTTTTTTTTTTTTTTTCGCGCTTCTCGATCATACGACGAACGTCTCTCGGCTGAGTTAGAAGGAGCATCGTTTCCGCGAAGGACGACAGCACCGGGATATAGGTGTGGCGAGTAAGTACGATCCGTCTTGTGTATGTATGTGATATACAATACATACATATATATATATATATATCGTGTAACATATATATACTATCGTGCGATAGTGTCAACGGACACCGATCCGTGAATTTTCTCGAGCGATTATCGCGCGAATAATCGTTCAAATTCGTACAAATACGTACGCTATCAATAGTAGAGAAAAACTATACCATTCGCGATGGCGTGTCATTACCAAGTCTCGTATCGAATAGCGTAATTTTTTACGCGTTATAATATATGCATTCGTGATACGGCTACAAAGGCAGATCGCAGGTTCTAAGATCGAGGAAAAATGTTATTTTGGAACGTGATACTACGTACGTTAAGTCGATAGAATACACACAATTTAGATTATTTATTATTTTTACGCAAACATGCAGGGATCTCTCTCTTTTTCATCGTATTTTTACAAGAGTCGATGGAACGGTCGCATGAAATTGCGTTGTTCGTAATGAGATTTTTAATCTATCGATATGCATTCACTAGAACGTATTATTACACCATGCTCGCTTCTCGAGATAATCGCACAAGCATCCGAAGCAACTGACCTTTAGCGAGTGATGTATAAGTGTAAACAAAAGCGTTGCGCGCTTAGTCAATATAATTATAATTTTCAAATATTCAGATTTATATAAAAGACGAAAATGGCATTTACGAAATTGGAATGATATTTATGTTTAGTAATAATTTTGTAAATCATATATGTATATTTTTGTCGTCTCCCTCTCTCTCTCTCTTTCTCTTTCTTCCCTCTTTTCCCTTCCACCCTCTATTTTGCTCTACACAGATTCTCATCTTAGATTTGCGTATAGGCTTAATTAAGCATATACAAAATCGAAAAAGATGTTGATTTAAAAAAAATATTATGTAAAGTAAATGTGATGAAATAAAATGTGATGTAAAGTGTAAGTTTTACATATATTACATATTTTTGTTTATATATATGTATATGTTTAGATTGTATTTTGCGAAGTCAAGTGATGCAGATATAATTGATATCTGTGAATTTTATTAATCCGCTAGATATATTATCTTCCGGAAATCAATATAAACGTAATACAAAAACACGATTATACAGTAGTAAAAATAAGTGAATAATTACAAGTATAAAGCGCATATCTAAACAAATACGTGTATAACGTGAATATATCATCGCGCATACATATCTTTCGAATGAGAATAGAATGAGTATCGTTCGAGAATAATATAAACTGATGTATAAAATACGTAAGAGATCTAAAGCAGATTGAAAGATTTTTCTTGATCTAGACTCCAGGCGAAACACTTTGAAATAATTCTGAAAATATTTTAAAAGCATTTAAATGTAAATGCACATCCGATTAAAGAGAAAGAGAGAGAAAGAATAGATTGAAAAGCCACAAAAATTCGACAGGCAAGGATTACACGATACGACATTCGCGTTTGGATCTGCGTTTAGAAACGCACGATTCTTCTTGCGTTTCGCATCGTCCGTTATCTCTCGGAGCGCGAGATAATTAATCCTCCATTCAATCGTCTCTCTTAATCCGCGTCGCGACTCACCTCGTGCGCATCCCGTGGCGCGCGATTTTTAGAAGCGCACACTGCGTCGCATCGCGTTACATCGCGATAAAAAGCGAGCTGCATTTTTTTGCGCACGTTATCACCGTGTAGATTCCGAGCATTATTTAATGCCGGCGGCAGTCCGGCAATAACGTGTGTCGCACCATGAACGGAACGAGCGAGCGAGCGAGCGAGTGCGGCGCGCGTGGACTTAACCTTTGCATCTTTTTTTATTCGCGTGTGTCGCGGCCGTTATATTTTTAATATCCTTATAGGTCAGAATTTATAGGGAAACCGGAGTTATAAATATATATATACCGCTTTTATTAAGCAATGAGTGTTGCGTCCAATTAACTCCGTATGGAAGATCGATAAAGCGCTTTATAGCGTGTTTTTATTTCCTTTCTCTCTCTCTCTCTCTCTTGAACCTCTTTCGAAAATGTTTAATTGTGCGTCACGATATATTATTTTATTATTTTACACGTAAAGAAATTAAGAGCACGTGTGCAGAAAATACATATATTGTTGATGCATAATAATCTCTCTTACGAATATAGCTATAATTAAATCGATCAATATTTTATATTTATCTTTGTTGAATTATGTATAAGATTTTATTTAGAAATTGAATCCATCGTTTTACGTTTCAAGTATGACGCTTCGTCGTTTACATCCGCTTGTGTTTTGTGTCGTAAGAGCGATTATCGCGCAAACGATCGCCTATAGAACTGAGATCCGTGCTGTTTTATCAGCTGTTATTACGTAAATGACGCCAATGGTATAAAATCGTGTAAATATTCATTAAAACCAATATAATTTCGATGCGTTCAAGCAAATTATCTTCATGTTTATTCGTGATACGCGATAATTAGCTTAGGATACATTTCGTTGCATTTACATGGAAAATTTTACTTATCAAAAT